ATATTCTAATTTTGTGAAAATACTGGATTTGGGTTTTTTTGTCTTTAATCCATAATCATCAAAATTGAAACAAATAAAGGCTTGAAATATTTCACTTTGTGTGTAGTGAACTAATATAACATACAAGTTTCACTTTTTGAAACAAGTTAGTGAAATAAATGGACTTTCCCTCGATATTCTAATTTTTTGGCACATACTGTACCTGTACAGCACTTAAGCGATAAATGGTTTTATAGCATACTTAACTACAAGAAAATCAATACATGTTTTGAAAATTCTTAATAGGTTAGAGGTAGAGTGGTGTAGAGAAGGACCAAGTGTGGGATGATGTGAAAGAGACAGAGTAGAGGTGTTGAGATGGTTAGTGAAAAGTGAAAGAAGCTGCATAGCTTCTTGGTAATGTTTTTGTTTTTCTTTTTCTCCGTCTCCTTCACCTTCTTCTTCTTCTAAACTAAAACACACTGAAGTGACCTGTTAAGTCTGTTTTTGGCAGATGATGCAATACCTAAGTGATTATAATGAGCACAACTCTCATTTTAGCTTAGCATGTATAGAGGCAGATGAGTTAAACCAGGGGTGTCAAACTCAATCTCACAGGGGGCCAAAACTCAAAGTACACTTCAGGTCGCAGGCCGAACAGGATAAACATTTATTTTACAGACTAAAACTAAACATTTTTTGAACATAAATATGAATCGAAACAGACAGGATACAATATTATTCCAAAATAAATAACCTTGAACTTAAAATCACCAACCATATTTCTGCTAAGCGTAATTGAAGCGGGAATGATCACAGGTAGCCTATCATTCGGTAAGGCAGCTGCATTATGGGATTTGTAGTTTGTGTTATCGGCGCTTCAAATCGCCATTAAAAAAAAGATATGTAAAATGATTTCGCGGACCGGATGTGGCCCGCGGGCCTTGAGTTTGACACATGTGAGTCTGAGAACCCTCTCAGCATGCACCCCATTTTCTCCAGCTTTATTTTATTGTCATTCTAACATTGTGATACGTACAACGAAATTACGTTTGGAGCCTCGTGCCTCTGTGTGAATACGCACCGCCATCACGGGCAGCTTGGGAAACAGCTTCCATCCATCCATTATCTATACTGCTTATTCCTGAATAGGATCAAGCCTGACATTAGACAAGAGGCGGGGTACACCCTGGACAGGTCACCAGTCTATCACAGAGCTGATAGACAAACAACCACAAACACACTCACACTCACTCCTATGGGCAATTCAGAGTCGCCAATCAACCTAAACTACATGTCTTTGGACTGTGGGAGGAAGCCAGAGTACCTGGAAAGAACCCACGCAGGCACAGGGAGAATATATAAACTCCACACAGAAAGGCCCTGGGTCGGCCAGGGCTCAAACCTGGAACCATATTTGCTGTGAGGCAACAGCTGTGACAACCACGCCACTGTGCTGTCCCATTTAGCAAGTCACATTACCTATATTTTCTTTTCCAGAGCCAGCTATTTTACTCACCTTGTTGTATTTATCGAAGTCTGCCATATTATGTACGTTGTTGTTGTCCAGCCATCAAATCCACCCGTAAACCTACCTCTGCCTCTGTTACTGGCCCCAGTACTGCTCTTGTATTAATTTATGCTATTATTACTTTCAATGTCAGTTCTCCCCCTGGTATCTGTGACTACTTTATATACATTCTCCAGTTATCATCATACCGGTGTGCTCTGGTTTATCTGCCTATGTCCAACTCACCTGCTTACCTGCATTCAAGTTATTATCACTGTTCACTTTTCACAGTATCTTCTTGGCAGTGGTCTGCATCTGGGTTCTCAGCTTAGTGAACATGACAATAAGAGCAGTACAGCATTGCAACACAAATTATTTTTACTGATATAGAAATTATAAGTGGCATTCCATCCTAGAACTATTTTATGCATTTTGTCATGGCAGGCCAGATCTTCACTTGGAAGCTGATTTGTTAGATTTAGAATTTTATCATGTTTGGCATCATGTGTTAAAATGTTTGTGATGCAGTTTGGGTACTCCAGATGTAGTTCAAAGGACTTAATATTGCCACAACATTTATTAACATTTGCCAGTAGAACTACTATTTTACTAGTGAATCAAGATTTGTTTGCATGATCTGATGGCAAACACTGAGCTCAGATAGAAATACAAAAGTCTCAATGACGATGGAAGCAACTTTGCTGAAAATGACTGAAATAGCCTCAAGGTAGAGAAACCAGAGTTCACACTTAGTAAAAATGGCCCACATTAATTTATATCTTCAGCCCCCACAACAACAATAGCAAAAAAACAGCTGACAAGTGGAGCCTTATTAAACATTTTCATCAGGTTTGGACACATCTAAATATTCTATATTCCTACAAAAATTCCAAACAAGCTGTTTAAAAAGGCAACAGTTGTAAATGGCTAATGTTAATCACTTTAATTAAATGCTAACTATATTAAACTAAACTATACTAAATATTAACTGTGGAATGCCATTTTAGACACATACAAATTCCTTCATTTACATTTGTTCCACTTAATTCTAAACTATTTGATAGTTAAGCCCGAATTTGTCAAATTTCATGACATGAAAAATAAAAAATGGTGTAGCCTCTTTAATTTC